CAATGTGAGATGCAGATATGCCAAGTGGCATCTTACATACTATGCCAGACACCCACTCATAAAATACATGTTACTCACGCATATAAAACGCATTTCTACTGTAATAAAAGTTATGAACGGTGACAAGTACTACAACTATAGATTACATGTAAATTTTCCAGGTGCAAAAACTATCTTACTTGTTTTTCCTCATGGACATGTGTGGTTTTTACATACACTGCCCAAAGCCAGTCTTTGAGGCCAATGACTTCCAATCAGAGCAACCACAACACGGGGTCTCCAGTAAATATAGTCACACTCCCATTATAAAACATGTCTACACCTAGTTAGCACATTAAGAATCTGCATGTTCAATGTTATCTGCAAAAACTAAGGAAAATACTATTTCAAAGAAGAAGTCTTGTGGCAAATATGACCTTGGCTCAGTGGCACTGCTAGAACATTTTTGGTGCCAAGGAAAGTGGTGACCTCTGAGATAAACAGGAGGCTGAACAATTATGAAGGCCAAAACATACATTGCATTTCCTGTACATCATCTTTATTATCTATCGGGCTTGACTGGTCTCTACCAGGATTATCTCTGATATCTCATAAGATATTGCATTTCATTTATTTTGACATAGTTTTTGTTCTTCAGTAGAACACCAGTCTGAGATTTATTTCTAGAATTCTGGGTTACTGACACTAATAATTATCAAAGAGACTCCTTAAAGTCAAGCTTACTGCTCTGTAAAGTGAACACACAAACTATTTGACTCAACTTCACGTGTGCCTTAGGTTTAGATCCTTAGAAATTTTGCACTTGAAGGTCTGGCAGTGGTATATACAGTAGTGGGAGTTGAAGGACTGTGAATCAATAAGTTATCAAAGAAAAACATGGCGAGAAAATGGAAAATATCACACTGTCACATCGTAGAATGTGACATGTCAATCATACCCTAGCCTCTTCTAACCTACTCATCATACATCTTACCTGGACAGTCCCAAACGTCTTCCATAGGTCAGCTTCTTACATGTCTTTTCATCTTCAATGCCATTATAACTTGGCATGCCAACTGCTGAAATACAGCATTCCATTCATTGACAAACCTTCCATGCTACCGTATAACTAGAGGTAACATCTCATTTCATTTATCACGTATTATCTCTGTTTGACCTCTCCTATCTTAGAAGGCCTACTGTCAGGTGCTGTAGTGATGAGAACAAAGACTGTGGCAGCTCGGATATGATGATGGAGGTGTGTCTGTCTCACTTCCACACTCCACAGGGCCAGCCCAGGTTGGAAAGACAAATCTTCCTCAGGCCACTCAGGACCCAAGTTCCTCATGCCTGGTTACTCAGTCATATTCTACATGGCCCCCATCCACACGGTTAAACCACATCTACCCAACAATTCGCAGCACAGGGGAAGGAAGACAGAAATGAGATCACAAACCATTTCATTTTAAGCCATGAACCAGCAATGGATCACATCCATTTTCTCCACATCCCACCAGCCAGGACTTCATCACACATGCACATCTTGCCACAAAGCAGCCTGGGAGGAGTCACTTCTACCTGTTTTGTCACGTGGCTGACAGAAGCTGATGGTGTGGGTGGGACAGGAAACGGAGTTCTACTGTTTTAATTTAAAACAGGATGATTGTTAATGGGGGAGAGTTAGCAAATGCTTCCATAATTCATTTAAGTTAATTGAGTATATTTTACTGTTGACGTTTACCCTAAAACCAAAACTTGTATCTTTGATTAAAGCACTAATTATACACAAAACAAAACAGAATTCTGCAGACAATTACTCCCTTTTTTTCTGACCAAAAAAAAAAATCCTCCCTGACATGAAATGTTTTCATCTAAACTTTTGTGTACATCTAGAATTTCAAAGTTATTTCCTTAGAGAAAATCCCAGAAGCCTGTTTTCTGTGGCAAACAGAATATAATCTTAGGACTTTTGATATAATGACCAAAATATCCTTCCCAACTTTGTACTAATTTATATTCCAATGTAAAATGTGCTAAAGTGATTTTCTTTGAACTCTTTTGTAAAGAGTTTTATTGAGGTGTAACTTATACACCATAAAAGCCAACCATTGACATTTATATCTCAATGACTTTTAGTAGATTTACACAGTTATAGAACCATCAGCACAACATTAGAACATTTCCACCACCCTAGAAAATTCCCTCTAGCCCATTTCCAATGTCAGTTCTCAGCTGCAAGTCCCAGGCCAATGTTGCTCTCTGCCTCCTAAGAGATTTGCCTTTTTTAGAAATTTCATATAAATGTAATCATCCAGTACATAGTCCTTGGGTCTGGTTTCTTTCACTGTTTTACAATGCTTTTGAGGTTTGTGCATTTTGTAGCATAAACCCATAGCGCTCTCATTATTATGACGGCACAGCATTCTATTGTGTACATACGATGCATTGTGTTGACTATTTCATGAGTTGATAGATATTTGGATTGTTCTGGCCTTTTGCAATCAGGGATAATACCACCAAGGAAATTTTTAAGCCTGTGCACAGAAAACCATTTTTATGATTTTTCTCTATCTTGCCAGAACATTCTTAATATGTCTATTTTAAATGTGAGAACACACATATTTTCTACAATCATTTGTTACATGAGAAAGGAATGACTGCGGCATTGCTAAGAGCAGCAGAGATTTTCCAGCATGGGTGCTCATTCAAAGTGACAACTCCCATGCCAACGTCCTTTCCATGCCATAAATGTTTCCCGATTTCAGAGTCTGGAAGAGAGGGAGTTGCTCGATTGTTGGATGGAGAAGAGGTGACAATTTCTCCTTTCAAAAGTTCTTGGCATACACTGCATTATTCAAAAAGTGGAAAGCATTGTACTGTGATTTGAATGTGCTACATGCATTTTTTATAGTATAAATCCATACATCCTTTCAACGATATTTGTTAAGCGCCTACCATGTCCCAAGCATTGTGTTTAGTATGAAAGAAGCAAAATGGAACAGAATCCGGCCTTTGTCGTGACAGAGCTTTGCAAGCCAAGGGTGTGCCACAGTCCTGGGTCATTCATAAAAGAGAGGCATGAGGCGACCTAGAGAAACACTCTATCCCACTCTGAGAGATCAGGATGGTTTCCAGGAGGAGGAAGAACCGGGCGGAAACCTGAAGAGCAAGGTCATGCAAGACAAGTCGACGAGAAAGTCAGACCCAGGAAAACGAGACGTGCAAACTCCCCGAGACACTGCCGTGTGGCAGCTTTGGGGAAATCCAGACCGTTCTCATGGTGTCACCACAGCCTTGAGAAAGAAACAACGGAAGGAGGAGGAGAGGCAAAGGGGGCAAAACTACTAAGGGGTTCCCAGCCACACTGAAAAGCGGCTGCCAAACCCACTGTCCTGAAGTCCCCAGGGTCCTCCACCATAATTTCTCCTCACATGAGCAAGCTCACCAGAAATTTACTCTAAGGAACGGATTGCTGAGCCAGTAAAGCATGCAGGGCCATGGTCCAAGGTGTCACTGCTTCAACAGCACCCTAACACCCTCAAGTAGATGTAAGAGAGTTAGACGTGAACAATAGGGATCTCTGTATGCGTTCATTCACTAGAACGTAAGCTCTAAGTTACTGCATTTCATGTATTTAGTGTACCACTATTTTAATATTTTATAACGTAATTCCTTGTTTATCAAGTGCTCTGAAAAAAATTTGTGTAGCCAAACAAGGCAGGAATATGCTTTCTATCATGTAGATTTGGAAAGGCTCTGATGTTTTTCAAGCATATTTGTGTTTTGGATGAAGTCATCTTATGGACAATGATCCAAAGAAGAGTGCAAGGTGGTGGGCCAGCACTGTGGCGCAGCAGGTTAACGCCCTAGCCTGAAGCACCGGCATCCCGTTTGGGCCCCAGTTCAAGTCCTGGCTACTCCACTTCTGATCCCGCTCTCTGCTGTGGCCTGGGAGGGCAGTGGAGTATGGCCTAAGTCCTTGGGCCCCTGCACCCGTGTGGGAGGCCCAGAGGAAGCTCCTGGCTCCTGGCTTCAGATAGGTGCAACTCCAGCCATTGAGGCCAATTGGGGAGTGAACCATCGGATGGAAGACATCTCTCTCCTCTTTCTGTGTAACTCTTTCAAATAAATAAATCTTTTAACAAAAATGAAAAAAAAAGAGTACAAGGCGGGATATGATAGGGTAAGTTTTATTTTGACCATCTACTCAAGTCAGACAATGCCATAAATACATCACATATTTTACTCCTCTTAACTCTCATAACTTAGTTATGTGGATCTTACCAGTCTTTGCACATAGGTCAAAATCTGAGCCTTTAAAAAAAAAACTACCCAGGGTTGGCAGTGTGGCATAGTAGGCTGCAGCACCGGCAATCCATGTGGGCAGGGGTCTTGTCCTGGCTGCCCCTCTTCTGATCCAGCTTCCTGCTAATGGGCCAAGGAAAGCACCGGAATATGGCCCAAGTACCTGAACCCCTGCACCCTTGTAGGAGAGCCAGGAGAAGCGCCTGGCTTCTGGCTTTGCATAGGCCCAGCTCTGGCCATTGCAGCCATTTAGGGGGTGAACAAGCAGATGGAAGACTTTTCTGTCTCTATATCTCGCCCTCTCTCTGTCTGTAACTCTGCCTCTCAAATAAATAAATAAAATCTTTAAAAACAAAAATTGCTTAAGATTTCACAATGTGCAAGTGGTAGAAGACAGATTCAAACCCTGGCATCCTAACTCTGGTTAACCTTACACATAGTTACTATGCTGGACTGCCTCTGATAAGCCAGGTAAATGGAAACTTCCAGCTGGATTCAGGCGGATCCCTTTAGACGTGGTGGTAGACAGAAGAAATTCCAGACACAGAGAAAAGAGTTGGTTGAATGGAGCATCACAGCTCCAAGACATAAGAACGCCACCCGTTGCCCTGCAAGTCCACAGCATCACAAGGGCCAGGGCAGACTGGGCTGGCGGGTAGAGAAACTCCAGAACAAATGGGCTCCTCCTGTAAGCTGGGCTCAGGAGGCTGGCCAACTGCCAAAACCAACGGACCCGCACAAAGAGTTCCGGCAAGCCGGCGCCGCGATCAAATGCACAGATCAACAAGCACACCAGGGGTGAAAACTGGCAAGTGGACGTGTGGACAGCAGGGAAAATTGGCACAACTGGAGATATGCAAATCAGCTAGGAAGCTGTTCCAGTTATCCGGGCACAGGCGGCCTGCCGTGATAAAGGTGAAAAGCAGTGGGTGTATCTGGAAACTTAGAGGGAGTCTTTACACGCTCACGGCAACATACAGTTGGCTCCGAGAGCAAGAAGAGATGGATTTGGGCAAGAGGGAAAGCTTGCATCTATGAAAAGAACTATTTCTTTCCTCTACTTTTTTCCTCAAAGGAAGGGAGATGATGGAGCAGGACACGGAGATGGTGTCAGCTTTTGTTGACTTCGTGAACCAGGAAGTCAGGTCATTGCTGATCGTGCACAGCGGGTGTGGTCGATCATAAACAAGAGCAGACGCACTGAGGGCCCTCAGTGAACACACACACACCATGCTTCATGCCGGTGATGGGAGAGAGCAGCAGACGCCCTACAAAGTGGCACTCCACCTGCTGTTCTTGGAGGACCGCGATGCTAATTCTTGTATTAAATTTCAATTAATAAGACCACAATGAAGTGCCAATACCACCTTGATTTTAGTCCCATGTTTTATAAAATCCAAATTCTTACAGAAAAGTACAGATGCAAATCTAGGAGGATTTTGAAACAGACAGCAATAGTAAGAAAAGCATGAGAAGTTTAATATATATTAACAAATATGTCCATTTATTATATAAGAGCAAATTTGCAAATAGATAGTGAAAACAGAGTTTTCAATGAATGACTTTATAATAGCTATATGTGAACTAAAAGTAAGGGAAATTAAAACATATATGAGGATGGATGATTTTTCTAAGAATGAACCAAAATACAGAATTCATAGAAGTTTAATATGCTTGATTATATAAACCCCAAAATATGCCTAAGTCGCAAAATAAAATCATAAAGAATGCCAAAAGAAAGATAAGAAAGGGAAAATATCATCTCATGTTTGAGGAGGGTTCAAAAAGTTCATGAGAAAGGTTTATGGAATAAATCACACATGCATTTAAAGTTTTTGCACCAAAATCCTTTTAATTCCACTTACCACAAACATGAAGTTCCCCTGTAGGGTAGATAATGGCTAATGTCTTTATTACACAAAACACTCCAAGAAAATAACAAATACCATATAAAAATGGATAATGGATATCAAACAAAGTTGCACTTAACAGGAAAAGCAAATTGGACTGACATGTATGAAAAGGTATTTATTCTCACTCATGCAAATCAGAAGAGCACTGCAATTAAATTCACAATTTTATTACATTCTGGCCTACTACATTTTGTTGGAACTTGTGTACAGAATGAAAAATTTAATTTATTGGTGTGAATTTAATTTAGTACAACCTCACTGGAGAGAAACTTGGCAATGTTAATACTTTGATTACATATTATATTCCAGGTTTCAATCTAACAGTATCTTATAGTGTGTGAACGCGTATGCACATATGCACACAAGTGTCACATATGTAATATATTCATTGTAGTTTTGTAATAGTAAATCATTAGAAACAACATAATTGTCCATCACCAGATTGTTGGCTAAATAAATTCTGGCATCATTTTAAAAACCAGCTAGACACAGAAAAAGCGACAAGTAGTTTCTAAGTGAAAATCATGTTGCGTGAGTTACACTTCCACCTGCGTACACACTGTTACACACTTCTCATTTCTCCACTCTCTCTCCCTCCACCTGTCTTATCTACGAATGTGTAAGAGAACGGTCTCTCCTCCAAGACAACGCAAGAAACTGGTAGAGGCATCTGTTTCTAGGGAAGGGAAATGAAAGCTTAGAAGACACGGCTGGAAGACAGAGTCTTTCCATCAAAAATCAATTAAACAATATTTTGTCCATTTCACTCATACACAGTAAATTTAAAAGTAATCATAGATCATTACAACTATACTACATACATACAAACATATATACAGCTTAACTATCACAAACAAGAGAAAATGTGGTATTTTTCTTTTAGGGTCTGGCTCACCTCATTTAGCATCATCTGGAGTTGCATCCATTTTGTTACAACTTCATTCTTTTTCACAGCTGAGTAGTATTCCACTGTGTATATATACCACATTTTCTTTGGTCATCAGTTGACTGGCATCTAGATAGGTTTCATATCTCAGCTATTCTGAATTGAGCTGCTATAAACATGGAGGTACAAATAACACTTTCATATGCTGATTTCATTTCCTTTGGATATTTTCCTACAACTGGGATAGTTGGGTCTATTTTTAGCTTTATGAAGACTCTCCATACTGTCATCTATAATGGTCATACTAGTCTACATTCCCATCAACAGTGTATTACAATACCTCTTTGTCTACATCCTCACCAGCATTTACTGTTTTGTGATTTCTGGATGATCGCCTTTCTAACTGGGGTGACGTGAAACCCTCATTGTGGTTTTTATTTGTGTTTCCCTGTTGGTTAGTGATCCTGACCATTTTTTCATGTGTCTGTTGGCCATTTCATCTTTTGAAAAATGTATGTTCATGTCCTTTGCCAACTTCTTACATGTATGTGGTATTGCTGTTGAGTTTCTTTAGCTCCTTATGTATTCTGGATATTAATCCTTAATCAAATACATAGTTTGGAAATATTCTCTCCCACCTGCCAGTTGCCTCTTCACTTTGCTGTGCAGAAGCTTCTTAGCTTGATGAAATCCCATTTGGGCATTTTTGCTTTTATTGTCCATGCTTCTGGGGTCTTTTCTAAGAAGTCTCTGTCTCTGTCAGTGTCATGCAGCATTTCCCCTGTGTTTTCCTCTAGTGATTTTATGGTTTCAGGTCTGAGGTTTAGATCCTTGAATCACTGTGAGTTAATTTTTGTATATAATACAAGGTAAGGTCTTCTTCCAAACTTCTACATGAGGAAATCCAATTTTCTCAACATCATTTGTTGAAGATACGGCCCTTTCTCTAGAGAGCAGTTTTAGCTCCTTTGTCAAAGATGAGTTGGTTGTAGATGTGTGGATTGATTTCTGGGCTTCTATTCTGTTCCACTGGTCTACAGCTCTATTTTTGTGCCAGTGCCAGGCTGTTCTGATTATAAATCACTGTAATATGTCTTGAAATCCTGTATTTTGATGCCTCGGGTTTTGACTTTATTGCTTAAGATTGCTTTGGCATTTGGGTATTTGGTGTCTCTATATAAATTTTTGCTTTTACTAGATCTCTGAAAAATGTCCTTGATATCTTGTTTAGGATCATTTGGACCTGTAAATTGATTTGGGTAGTATAGACATTTTGATGATATCAATTCTTCCAATACATGAACATGGAGGATTTTTCCAATTTTGTGTGTCTTCTTATATTTCTTTCATTAAGCTTTATAAGTTTCATTGTAGAAATTGATCACAATATTGGTTAAATCTATCCCAAAGTATTTAATTTATATAGCTTCTATGAATGGAATAATTTTATTTAAAATTTACCATTTATGAGCAAAGTGGATATATTTTCATTTGATTATTATTTACAATCCTTGGCTATATTACTGATGAACGACGATGTTTATTTTAACTTTTTGAACTCTTTTATTTAGTACAGCATTAAATCTTTGACTATTACATAAAAAAAGTATGTCATTGAAAATTAAAACCCAAAGAAAGGGGGAGGGACTATCATATATTTTTAGAATTTTATCTATGAACTACATTGAATCTGTCCCTCTTTGTATTTATATCACATTAACAAAAGAAATGGTAAGATTTGTATTGTAGCAATTATCATGTGTTTGCTGAGACCTTAAGAATCTAATGTGAGAGTGAATTCCTTATTAGAAAGGTGATTATAAGAGTTGGTGCCAATGCATAGAGTGTTAAGATACCATGTGCAATGCCAGCATCTCATATTGGTGTTGGTTAGTGTTCTAGCTGCTCAGCTTCCAATACAGCTCCCTGCTAACATGCCTGGGAAAGCACAGGAAGTCGGCCCAACCGACTGGAGCCCTGTGCCCAAGTGGGAGACACTGATGAGCCTCCTGCGTCCTGGTTTTAACCTGGCCAAGTTCTGGCCATTGAGACCATTTGGAAGTGAACCAGTGGATGCTCGCTCTCGCTCTCTCTCTCTCTAACTCTACCTTTCAAATAAATAAATGTTTTAAACAAAGTGGCTATATAAGAATTTCAGAGTCTTGGTAACTATGGAGTTGAGGGTATGGCCTCACCATTGTAAATGCTGGAAATTGTTGAAAAAAAATTCAGATACAGTAATTGTGAGCTAATCATCTATATACATACTTGAGAAGAAAAAAAAGAATTCAACTGTGCTAATGCTATTAAAATTATATGAAAATTGGCCAGTGCCACAGCTCACTAGGCTAATCCTCCGCCTGTGGTGCCAGCACACCAGGTTCTAGTCCCGGTTGGGACACCAGGTTCTAGTCCCGGTTGCTCCTCTTCCAGTCCAGCTCTCTGCTGTGGCCTGGGAGTGCAGTGGAGGATGGTTCAGGTCCTTGGGCCCCGTACATGAATGGGAGACCAGGAGGGGGCACCTGGCTCCTGGCTTCAGATCAGCACAGTACACCAGCTGCAACACGCTGGCCGTGGTGGCCACTTGGGGGGTGAACCAATGGAAGGAAGACCTTTATCTCTGTCTCTATCTCTCTCACTGTCTAACTCTGCCTGTCAAAAAAAATAATAAATAAATAAATAAAATTATATGAAAAGGTCTTTGAAGGCTGGGATTAAATTCCTAGGGAAATCCTCAATGTCCCACAGCTTAGACCAAAAAGAAAGACAGTATGCTCAGGAAAACAGAGTGACATCATCAAAAGTGGATTTTGGGGATGATGAAGAAAATGATGTCCACAAATTTGTAAGAAGTGCGTGAATAAAATTTTAACATGAAACAAGAGGAAAAAATAAAGTACATTATCTCATATAGCGTCTGTGAAAAAAAATGCTGTAGACATTTGTTGAGGTGGATTTGTTCTGAGAGGAGAAGCGTGGTGGGGGCAAGAGGCACGGAGTCACGACACAGACCCCGGCAGCCGGGTGAAAGAGGGCCAGAGGCGAGCAGCCTGGAGACTCGTTTATTTCAGGTGGTACAGCAGCTTATATAGCCAAGGCAGCCAATCCGGTCAAGG